GGAATTCAGGGGCTCCCAGGGGGCAAAGCCACCTCGAACCCTGAGACATCAAAGGAAAAAGCAACACCAGCTGGGCTCGGTGGCTCAGCCTGTAATCCCGCGCCTAGGGAGGCTGAGGTGAGTGGATGGCCTGAGCCCGCGAGTTCAAGACCCACCTGGGCAACTTGGCGAGACCTCATCTCTACAATAAATCAAAAAATTAGCCGGGTGTGGTAGCGCCCGCCTGTAATACCAGCTGCTTGGAAGGCTGAGGCGGGAGGATCGCCGGAGCCCAGCAGGTCGAGGCTGCGGTGGCCGGGAGTGGTCACTGCACTCCAGTCTGGGCGACAGAGTGAGACTCCAACTCAAAAGAAAGAAAGAAAGAAAGAAAGAAAGAAAGAAAGAAGAAAGGAAATATCACAGGGCAGGGAGGGGATGAGGTTCTCGGAAGAGTCAGGGCAGAGGAGGCAAGGAGGCCTGGCAGGAAAATGATTGACAACTGGGAGTTCTGGGTCACAGAAAGCTTTCAGTGGGAGAGGAGATACAGAAAGGGTCACATGTGGATAACGATTCATCGGCAACCCAAGGCTGAACCAGCAATGCCGCCCCCAGATTCCTGACCACCAGAAACTGTGGAATAACTCACGCTGATTGTTTCAACAGTTAGTGGGAATGGCCCGCTTGGTGTAGGGGCAATTTGTTACACAGCAGTAGCTAACCAATACATCTGGATTTCTCTCTCTCTCTTTCTTTCTTTCTTTCCTTCTTCTTCCTTCCTTCTCTCTCTCTCTCTCTTTCTTTATTTTTGAGTTGGAGTCTCACTCTGTCGCCCAGACTGGAGGGCAGTGGCCGCTCCCGGCCACCGCAGCCTCGACCTGCTGGGCTCTGGCGATCCTTCCGCCTCAGCCTTCCGAGTAGCTGGAACTACAGGTGTGCACTATCACGGTTGGCTAATTTTTGATTTATTGTAGAGATGAGGTCTTACCAAGTTGCTCAGGCAGGTCTCGAACCCGTGGGCTCAGGCAAACCACTCACCTCAGCCTCCCAAAGCGCAGGATTACAGGCTGAGCCACTGAGCCCGGCTTTATTTAATTCTTTCAGCAACCTTGTATAAAAGATAAGAAAGGGCAAATACTAATTATCTCCATTTTACAGGTTAAATATACTGTTAATAATTGCTTGGGACTGGGTGGGGTTGGCTCACGCCTGTAATATCAACACTTTGGGAGGTGGAGGCAAGAGGATTGCTTGAACCCAAGGGTTCGAGACTAACCTGGGCAACTTGGCAAGACTTTGTCTCTACGATAAGTAAAAAAAATTAGCAGGACGTGGTGGTGCACACCTATAGTTCCAGCTACTTGGAAAGCTGAGGTGGAAGAATCACCTGAGCCCAACAGGTTGTGGCTGCAGTAGCCTGAGCATGTCACTGCACTGTAGCCTGGGCGATAGAGTAAGACCCTGACTCAATAAACAAACAAATAGGAGAAATCACGTAGGAAATGACACCCTGACCAGACATACAGTAAGGTGGACCCCATAAAACCCACCTTCTGGTACTCATGCCCTTGTGTAATCCCCTCCCCTTGAGTATGGGTGGGACCTGCGACTTGCTTCTAACCAACAGAATAAGACAAAGGCAATGGGACGTTATGTGATTATATGTTTATGTGGTTATGTTGTGTAAGATTCTGTGTCCATTTTGCTAGGAGACTCCCTCTCCCTTGTTGGCTTTGGGGAAGCAAATAGCTGTGTTACAAGGGCTCATTGGGGTAAGGAACTGAAGGTGGTCTCCAACCAACAGCTGGCAAGAAAGTGAGGCCCTCAGTCAGCCAGCTCACAAGGAACTGAATGCTGCCAACAACCATGTAAGTTTGGAAGCAGATCCTTCCCTAGTTGCGCTTCTGATGACACAGTGCTCCCAGCTGATATGCTGACTAAAGTTTGTATAACTCTGAAGCAGAAGCTTCTGCTAAGTTGTAACTGTGTATTGTTTTCAATCATTAAATTTGTGACAACACTATTATACAGCAATTGATAAGTAACATGTTATGTTTGGGGGGGCCCTTAAGACCACCCTCAGGTTCAATGATTCACTAGAAGGACTCACAGAACTCAGCAAAGCTGTTATACTCACAGTTAGAGTTTATTACAGTGAAAGGATACAGACTGAAATCAGCAGTGGAAAAGGGCACACAGGGCAGGACTTCCAATTATCCTCTCCTGGCAGAGTCTTGAGAACAATGCTTATTTCTCCCAGCAGTGATGTGTGACAATGTATGGAGTACTGTCAACCAGGGAAGCTCACCCAAATCTTGGTGTCCAGGGCTTTATTGGGGGTTGGTCATCTAGGCATACCTCAATGCCCACATGACTGACTTAGTCTCCAGGCCCTGCTGAGGTCAAGCTGATACTGCAGGGCCTGAGGCCCCAGGTGAACAAAGACACTTACCAGGCAGGATATTCCAAGGGATTCGAGGTTATCTCCCAGAAGCCAGTCAGGGGCTAGGCCTTTCTTTGAAATGTGCAAGGTTGAAATACCCCAAGTGAGACAGCTGGGTTAATCCTGTACCACACAAAAGGATTAACTTCAACTTCAAAAGTGGTGTTCTTAAGCCAAGTTGCTACCCTGCTTGAAGCCAAGGCGAGAGACCAGGAAACCACCTTGTAACCACTGAGAAAACTTCACACCTTCACTTGCTGAATGATCAGGGAATTTCCAGGATGTAAGCCGTACAACCAGAAGGCAGGGTGCAGAGGGGAAGGGGCAGAGATGGCACACTCATACAGAAGCTTCTCCTGACTGGCCACTGAATAGAAAGCAAGCTTCTTCTCCTCAAGATCCAGCCAGATGCCCACCACCTGAGGTCTGTCTGAGCTGAGGATAGTTTCCTTGGCCATGTGCCACGCAGAGAGCTGGCTAGTTCCCTTCCACTCTATACAGCAAGAGTCCATGGTCCTTCCCAGGATCTGGTCACGGCTCATCCCCCAAGGAGCCACCCCAACTGCCCAGTGGCTGCAGTACTTAGTGTCCACTTCCCAGTACTGCTTCCCAGAAGAGAGGGCCTGAGAACATAAGACCTGGCTGATCAAAAACCTCTCACGACTCGGAGAGAACTGTGGGCAGTGAGACACAGTCACTGTGTGGCAATCCTCGGACACCTCCAGGCTTCTGGAGAGGCTCCTCAAGTCAAAGGTGGGATTGATGGCCCCTGGGGAAAAAGAAACAAGAACATGGTCAGTCAGCTTTTGAATCCCCACACGAAGCGTTCCCTAAATAGCAAAAATCATCTTTGTGTCTTTTGGTGTGATAATGTTCTATTCATACTGTCATTAAAATCAGTACTTTGACTTGCAATTTTCTATTCATACCCCTGATGTTATATCAACAATGACCCAGGCAGGGCACAGTGGCTCATGCCTATAATCCCAGCACTTTGGGAGGCCGAGGTGAGAGGACTGCCTGAGCCTGCAGGTTCGAGATCAGCCTGGGCAACTTGGCAAGACCTCATCTCTACAATAAATCAAAAAATTATTCAGGCATGGTGACACATGCCTGTAGTTCCAGCTACGTGGAAGGCTGAGGCGGAAGGATTGCCTGAGCCTAGCAGGTTGAGGTTGCGGTGGCGTGGTGGGGAGCGTGCCACTGCCCTCCAGCCTGGGTGATAGAGTGAGACTCCAACTCAGAAAACAAACAAACAAACAAAAAACAATGACCCTTTCCCACCTTAGTTTTTATCTACCCAGCAGTCATCTTCCAGAAAGCCCTCTCTGAATTCCACCCAGCGAAATCATCTCTTGCTTCTTTCCACATTCCTAGTGCTTTACTTGTTCTCTCATGATACCATCTTCTACCCATAGAGTGGTGATTTATGACCACAGCTGTTTATATCTCTCCAGTTAAAGCAAAGCCTCCTGATTAAGGACCATATCTTATTCATTCTGTATATTTCATACTATTTCCTCCTGAGTAAGTAAATAATTGTTAACACTTAGACAGTATGAATACTATGTGTGCTTTACACACATTTACTCATTTAACCCTCAGGCAATTCCACAAGAGAAGTACTATTATTATTTCCATGTTGCAGATGAGGGAGACCAGGTTCTGTGAGGTTGACTTGTCCAAGATCACACAGCTAGTGAGCAGAGCTGCTGAGAGTCATACCCAAGTAGTCTGGCCCCAGGATCCATGGGCTGTCCCAGGCCCGGATAGCAGCAGTACCTTGGCAGGTGGCTATAATGAGTAGCCCCAGCATGGATGGCCCAAAGGTTACCTGGGCTCGGAAAGCTCATGGGTCTGGAGTCTCAATCTGATTTGTCTTTGTTTTTTGTTGTTGTTTGTTTGTTTTGTTTTGTTTTTTGAGTTGGAGTCTCACTCTGTCGCCCAGACTGGAGTGCAGTGGCACACTCATGGCCACTGGATTCTTGACCTGCTGGACTCAGGCAATCCTCCTGCCTCAGCCTTCTAAGTAGCTGGAACCTACAGGCATGCACCACCATGCCTGGCTAATTATTTATGCATTTATTTATTGTAGAGATGAGGTCTCATCAAGTTGCCCAGGCTGGTCTTGAACCCCTGGGCTCAGGCAATCTTCTGGCTTCAACCTCTCAAAGTGCTGGGATTTACAGGCGTGAGCCAACGCACCTGGCTGATTTGCTTTTATAATCAACTCTTGCTCCATGGAGGGATCTGATGTAGGAAACAAATCTATATGCAATAAGCTAAGGAATGGTCCCAGCAGTAAGGAGATGGACACAGCATGTTCTAGTGGCTCCTCTCTGCAGAAGCCAAACCCACATTTTATTTTTAATTTTTTAATTTATTTTATTTTTAAAAAATTAATTTCTATTCTTGTACAAATGGGGTCTTACTCTGTTACTCAGGTGATCCTCCCATCTTGGCCTCCCAAAGTGCTGGGATTATAGGCATGAGCCACCACACCCAGCCCAAACCCGCATTTTTTTTTGAGTCAGAGTCTCACTCTGTTGCCCAGGCTGGAGTGCAGTGACACGATCACCATGTCTCACTGCAGCCTCAACCTCATGGGCTGAGGCGCTTCTGCCTCAGCCTTCCAAGTAGCTGGAACTACAGGTGTGTGCCACCATGCCCTATTAAGTTTTTTATTTTTTATTTTTTTGAAGAGATAAGGTCTTGCTATGTTGCCCAGGCTGGTCTAGAACTCCTAGGCTCAGCCAGGCATGGCAGCTCATGCCTGTAACTCCAGCACTCTGGGAAGTAGAGACAAGAGGATTGCCTGAGCCCAAGGGTTCGAGACCAGCCTGGGCAACTTGGTGAGACCATGTCTCCACAATAAATCAAAAAATTAGCTGGGCATAATAGTGCACAGCTGTGGTTCCAGCTACTTGGAAGACTGAGGCGGAAGGATCTCCTGAGCCCAGCAGGTCGAGGCTGCGGTTGCCGTGAGTGTGTCACTGCACTCCAGGCTGGGCGACAGAGTGAGACTCCTACTCAAAAAAAAAAAAAAAAACCCCAAAAACTCCTGGGCTCAAGTGATCCTTCTACCTTGGCCTCCCAAAGTGCTGGATTATAGGTGTGAGCCCCCACACCAAGCCCAATCCCACATTTTAAGTGGACCACATACTTACATTGAGTAAATGGAGAGGCCCTCCTAGATGCAAGGTGGCTGTGGTCAGGCAATGGGCATGAGGAGGAAGATGGAGCTTCTGGGAGTTCCGCTAAGGAATCAAGGAAATTGGGAAGGGAAAGTCTCATTAGAAAAAGGCAGACTAAGCCGGGCTCGGTGGCTCAGCCTGTAATCCCGTGCCTTTGGGAGGCTGAGGTGAGCGAATTGCCTGAGCCCGTGGGTTCGAGACCCGCCTGGGCAGCAAGACCTCATCTCTACAATAAATCAAAAAATCAGCCAGGTGTGGTAGCGCATGCCTGTAATTCCGGCTACTCGGAAGGCTGAGGCGGAAGGATCGCCAGAGCCCAGCAGGTCGAGGCTGCGGTGGTCGGGAGCGGCCACTGCACTCCAGTCTGGGCAACAGAGTGAGACTCCAACTCAAAAAAAAAAAAAAAAAAAGAAAAAGGCAG